ATAAATTTTGTGTTACAATTTCTCTGTTTAATGTAAAGTACAATCAAATCACATCTATTTAATTAAGAGTACACCTGGGCTTCTGACAGGTTCGAGGTAAAAAAGTCAGTCCCATCTAATATTAAAAAAAATACATTACTAATATGTAAATATATATACGTATGAGATTCTTCACTAAAGGATAGAATATATAAAATTCTCAATTTTTTTTTCAACCTTGATGTCTAATGTAGAAAACTCAAATATTCATAATTGCAAATTGTTCTTAACAATTAATTAAGTGACTAGTGTTCTCTCTTCCTTCGCAAAAAACAACTGCTATGAAATATATAAATGAAATGAAAGCATTAACTTTCCAGATGAATATTTAATCCCCAATCAATTTGCGATGTAAATTGATTGGCCAAAAGTACTTGAAATTAAAAGCGCGTAATTATTTTATTGAATACTTCAATTTGCTCGAATTGCTGAATGGCTTAAAACGATAATCTCCCTCCACACGACATACGTTATTAAACAGATATAGTTTTTATAATATCTATCTACGTAAAAGAGATTTGAAGTACCTAAACTACCGATCAACACACTATTGAATACCTAGCAGCTAGCAGCTTACAAGAAAGTCAATCCCGTAACTTTCAATTTCTAAAGTCATTAAGTTAGAATTATCTTCAGTGAAAGTTAGACTCCGAACTTAGACACTATTGTAGGTTTAAAACCGAAGTTATAAACTTAACTCAAACTGAAGAGCACGTAATGGCATTAAAAGACGTGTCTACAACGTTAGAAAATGGAAACGAAGTATCTATTCTATGTACAGTTGAATATGGCAATCAATTCCGCAAAGAAACATCAAACATAACCCCAATCAGGCCCTTTCAAACTCTTGTGATATCACTAAATAAACATCGTTGCGAATGAAACCGAAAGATACAGCGATGCGAAATAAGCGGGATAGGTTTCCCCCGTCCACTCGCTTCGGGATTATCCCCGGGGATTTTAAATCCCGCGATGCCTGAATCCCTGTTCACGAAATACGGTTTCGGTGAGTTTCCAATAACCGATTGGTCATAATTGGAGAGCTCATTACTTTGCAGCCTGTTTGCACCTTTATGCACTTTGTTGATTGTATGTTGGTTCACTCAGCTTTACTGTGACGGTAATTCGATGAAAAAAAGAGTATTGTATTGTTAACGTCATTTTATTTCATGAGAGAAGTTTAAAATTCGATGATCACTCAATCAAGCAAGGAACTTTAGATTTCTAATGCATTGATTAAATCGTAGGTACCAGGGCGTCAGGTTCTCAAAGAACTAACTCCAGCACATTGCCTGCATTATGAAGGCTTTACAAGCCAAGTTCCACACTTAACTCGGTCCACTCAGTTTCATGGGCGCGCAACAAGTGCTTTCCATAATTGAACACACCTGCTCTGCTGTTGTTATGTGCTCCTAGTATTTATAAGTATTTTCTATTGGCGTAGTAGTAGTTTTTCCATATTTTATTTGTTTAGAAAATTGAAATGGCTCGGCTAATTATCAAATCGATTTTTGGTTAACAATAATTCACAGCCCGTATGCACCATGACATTAAAAAAAGACAATAGGCAGTCTTTCTTCTTTGCAGATTTAGACGATAAAGCTGGGTAGTTTTATTTTATTTTTAGATTTGGTGTAGTAAATGGGCAGCGTATGAAAATTTTACTAAAGACAAATAATAATATTTTTATTCTGCCTTTTATTGGTATTTATCAGTATATCTCAAGTTTAAATAATGCCTGGGCTTTTCACATAAAAGAGACCTTCCTAGTAACAAAAATGGAACAATTTAATCACGCGACATTACCAGCTCTTACTAGAAATTGTAAGTAATCTCTCTTTGTTACAGCTATATCCGTATATAACCGGGGACTTGATAGGATATCGAACAAATGTTCACTCGCTACCCGGACAAATTGCCCAGCTTACCCGGCCGGAGTGGATCTATTATGTGATGTTTTGCTGTGACGTTTATCACAGGCGCTGATATTATTTTGTTAAATAAAGAGACGATCAGTCTGAGCTTATAAATAGGGTCTTAAGTTCTGTTCATTAGGGTCCTTTTTTTGTTTGACAGGTAATTTGTGAAAGTAACCCTTCTATTTATTTACGTTTTAAAACATACCTCCACGATTTTGATCCTCACGATTGGCGAAATATTTACGTAGCATAAATACATTTATGAGTTCTTATATATTTATTTAGAATATATACCTCTTCCAAGAATCTAAAACTCCTGCTTTTGAGGCCCAAACGACAAATGCATATTTGCAGAATCCTTCAAGATTTTTTCATTTCATAAAAATTAATACAAGTTTATCACAAGTTAAGTATCTTTCTAAGGCAGAAGTGTTTCTGTAGAATAGAGGAATTCACAATCTGTCATCTTCTAAAACAGACATTCAAAAAGAAAGTACTGTTACAGTAAATTTATTGCATTCTCCCATTGGAAAAGCACCACTAGTTAAACATCCATTTGCCTTACCAAAAACCAATTTAAAAAGCCCTTCAGCTCTGCACCAGGGCAAACTCTTCATTTTTCCTAACACTCATGAAGCGAAAAGGCTTGAAACCGATATTTAAATAAAAAAAACATTCAAGAACGTTCGCTTCGGAGAACTTCGGATACCTTCGACAAACATCGGTATACTTCTTATTGCATCTTCAACCTTCGGTATTCCATTTACTCTGAGGAGGATTTGTGCTAATCTGGTTTCGATGGAGCAATTTGTATCGCCCATTGCAATACTCAACAAATGGTTTGCATTCAGACTGTGATCTGTATCTTTACTACAGAAGGGAAGGAGATAAAGTAGTACACACGATTAAATTTCTTATTTATTTGTTTTATTGAAACTGTTTGTGGTGTGGACTGCCTCGTTGGCCGAGTGGGCGCAAGTGCGACTGCTGGTCAAGAGGTCTCGGGTTCGATTCGCAGGTCAGGCAAAGTATTACTGGGTTTTTAAAAAAATCTCAGTAGTAGCACGGAGTCTGGAAATGTGCCCGGTATATGGCAATAGGCTCACCCCCTATTACATGGGACTCATAACATAAATAGCGAAAAGTGGGTGTTACATTGTACAGTGGCATTTAGTGCCGTAATGTGCACCTCTGCCTACCCCTTCGGGGATAAAAGGCGTAATTTTATGTTATGTTTGTGGTGTTGTGGTACACGTGCAACATGGCTGAGTATGGAGTAATAGTTTTAGGCGTAGGGAATATTATCTGGGTTCTTACTCTTGAAACCAGTCTCAATGTCAATGCAATTTCAATCCAAAAAAATCTCATTAATTATTCAATGTCAAAACTATACAACCCCAATCGCAGCTGTTAAAATAGCATTCAGAGTATGGAATATAAGTCAAACTCAATACCATTTAGTTCATAAAATCGACGCAATACGGATGCAATGGGCGCTAGTGTTGCAACTCAAGAGTACGAATTTTCACAAAGTCAATTTTGATTGATCGGAATTGAATTCAAGAGTAAGCCCCCTGTTCTATGGTAATACGCTTGCTCTTACACTAGTACAAAATATGATGAAAAATTATTATTTGGCATAATGGGATGTTTTGTTATTAAGAATGTTGGTTGTAGTCACGTGTGGTTTAGCCTTGGGTTTGTATATTAAATACAAACATGTAAACAACACAATTCTATAAACTACTACTCAAAACAACACATACAACACACTACAATTACAAAATTACTAAACAAAAACCAAATAACTAAATTAAGAAAACAAAACAAAACCGCAAACAATAACAGTTAAAAAATTAAAAACTTTTTTAAACCAACAACGCGAAACAATACAAAATAACCGCGGTACACAGTGATCTATGAACACAAATAAACACGCATTTTCCGTGAAAAAGTTCCCTAAGTCGCCCCTGACTGAAATTTATGATCCCATAAAAAATTACTTAGGAAAAGCAAAGGTCGACATTAAGGTGTGAAATGAGACATATCGCGAGATAACTACACCGCAAATAAGGCTGGTTCACTCCCGTGAGACTTATTGACACGGTAAACAACGTACAGAAGGTCAAACTTTGACATTTTTTTAGTCAAACATGAGTGTGGGTATGCATGAGAATGATCGGTAGGCTAAGCCTAAATATTGTACAGGGTTGATGCCGATTCGGAGTCGCGGAGAACCTAACGGGTTACCGGGGCTCCGGCTCGAAGCGCAGGAGAAGGAACGGGGTGGTTTTTAGTCAGTAAGAGTCTGACACTCCCTCCCACCTCAACCAGGCGGAAGCAGTCATTCGATGATTTTCCCCCCTTAAAAAAAGCCTAAATATTCTCAAATAAAACCAAGTCTGCAATTATAATGTTCTATGAATAACAGAGACCACTCGGACCTTTATTACTAAAAATATTGGAAAGATAATTAATAAAACAGCATTAAATGACGTGATTTTAAATTGTATGAATCCAATATTTGGCTATAGGAAGAGCACTTTATACCTCAAAAATAAAGTGTATTTTTATGACTCCAACATGGCATAATTGTATGTGTCGTCTCTTTTGTTAACTACCCGACTTCAAAAATAGAGGCTATCTCAGTTTGACCAGTATTTATGACGTATATATGTACATATGTATATTATATATGTTTGTTACCCTTAGGAAAAGGTTTTAGTATATTAACAACAAAATAGAAGGGGTTAAAGTCTGCTTTTTAAACGATTTTTTTATGAAAAAATTACTTTATTATCAATTATCATTCAGTTGACCTTCTGCGCCTATAATTATTTGATGACCACCTCGCCACCGGTCATTGCCAGTCAAGTTTCTCATAGTAAAACACAAAGTGATGTAATATATGTATTCTTTAATGTTTATTCGTTGAACACAAACGTATCCGCGTCTATTAATATTACAACAAATATGGAAGATTTTTATCCGTTTTCAATTTTGTGATTTTGTGTGAAATATGGACCTTAGTTACCTTTAAATATGAGCCAAAAACAGAAAGTGATGTTTAAGAGTTGTATTGTGATTTTTAGTTTGTTTATCACAGGTATTTTTTGTTATACTTTCTTTCCACATGTGTCAAGTAATCGAGTAGTTTCCAATATAAAATACTTTACAATCTATTTTATGATTAAATTTCAAATGCTAATAATTATAAAAGATTCTTGTTTCAATCTTTGAATAATCAATCAATTTAAATATTATAAAACAAGTAATGCTACGGATAGATTATTTACAGATAAACATCAGGTCATATTTAAAATAAAGTAATTATAATTTTCAGCTTCTTCACCTCAACTTATGCGGCAAAATGACAACACAAACGTGAGTTTTGTAAAACCATATTTTTTATCATTAATGACATTAATTTATACACCCTATGCCGAAACATCTATTTTAAAGTTACACAAGTCCAAGGAAATACAAGGTGTAGTTTTGAAACCGTGACATTTCTCGGGGACATGTCACAGAAGTCATAAAGGTTCAATGTAAGAGAAAGTTTCGGGCCAATAGTTAAAAATACGGCTATAACAAATCGTTTAAGTTCGACAGTATTTCAGAATAAGCGACAGCAATGTTGCTTATTGGAATTTTATGAAATTAGGAATAATATCAATTACGTGTTTGATTTTGTGTGTGTTGAGCCGCGTTATAAAGCTAGTTACAAGTCGGCGGCGCGTAGTTCCCACTTACGGATTTCCGTAATTTACAGAAAAATTAAAAATATTTACCTACAATTTTTTTATTGTTTCGGGCTCAGAATCGATATCCGAGTTACCTCCTAGAAAATGACGCGGCTTTAAAACAACACCTTGTATAATAATAATATTTTCGTGCGGATATCGAATCTGTCTGCCTGGCCGAGTGGTCGCAAGTGCGACTGCTGGGCAAGGGGTCTTGGATTCGATTCCTGGGTCGGGTAGTGTGCCCGATATATGCCTATATGGCAATAGGCTCACCCCCTATTACATGGGATTCATAACATAAATAGTGAAAAGTGGGTGTTACTTCTGTGTGCACCTCTGCCTACCCCTTCGGGGATAAAAAGGCGTGATGTTATGTTATTCTATTCTATGTTATTTATTCTATCCGGTCAGTAACCACGCCAACCATGCCGGTTATTATTTAATCTGTCAAACACCAAGCGGTCACCGGTGACCGCGACCTATTGTTCTTTAATTGTGTCTATAAAACCGGTACTCGACGAGTTAATCACCTATTTTATAACAAGATACAGCGTCACTTTATGTAATTAAAAAAAACAAAATTAATCGAATTTAATCCTTGAGTTGACCTTCACATAACTATGCGTTATAAATAATATCAAAATGTTTCGGAATTCGGTAAACAAGAATCATTTTTCAATGGCAGACGGCAGATGAAGTTAGCCTATAATTAACCACCAAGGTACCGATGCAAACATATAATGAATCATTGTAAATACAACCTTGAAATGTGTAGTTAGAGTTACAATTTGCGAAATAGTTGTTATGAAAACTTGTTCTGATTTGTATTTCCTTATGTTTCATTTTTATTTAGAGTAAGTATCTATTGGAAATTCCGGTTTATTATGACACATAGTATATAAATATTTCCATAATTATGTTAAATAGTTACACCAATTTTGTAAGTAATGGAGCAGTTTCCAGTGAACATTCAGATTATTAGTTTCGTTTTATGTAAATGTTTTCATATTAGCTCGGAGACCAAAATCGTTATCTTGTGCTATACTTATCTGATGAACAGTGTAATATTTTACCTGTCCCAAAGATCGAATCCAAGACCTTGAACTTGCAAGTTGCGGATATAGACGGTCATTCGGTTAACGACGCTGTCAAAATTAGAACGATTTTCAAATTGAATGTGTATGACGTGTGTATTAGAAAAAGAATATTCTTATTCTTTACACACAAAAAATTAATTGCACTTGCACAATTATAGGTACATCCTCTTATGAAATATGAGATCCTAATGATTGCAAAATAATTAGTAAGACAGATTGCAAAGAATGGTTTTTATAACATAGTACAATATATGAAAATTGTTTGTCTACTAATCATTGACTGTCTCGTCGGCCGAGTGGTCGCAAGTGCGACTGTCAGGCGATGCAAAGAAGATGCATGCATCCGAGCATCGGCAAATAAAAAGAAACATATGATTATTGTGGCGCACACTGTAATATATTATACACATAACATCACGCCTTTTAACCCCGAAGGGGTAGGCAGAGGTGCAAATTATGCCACTGTATAAAGTAACACCCACTTTTTACTATTTATGTTATGAGTCCCATGTAATAGGGGGGGAGCCTATTGCCATATACCGGGCATACTTCCAGACTTCGTGCTACTACTGAGATTTTTTTAAAAACTTAGTAATACTTTGCCCTACTCGGAAATCGAACCCGCTACACGTTGTGCAGCAGCCGGTTGCCCAGCCACCACAACAACTGAGAATGATGATAAACAGGTAATAGCATCCTCTGTTACCCCAAGTGGTGCATGGCAACAGTATATCAGATGTACTATGGCGAAACGTGACGATGACGATAATGTTCTTCCCCAGAAACTAGTACCCATGTAGTAGTCCCACCCACTATCTGTCAATTACATTACAAGTCCCACGTAATAAGGGACAAGCCCATTCCCATGACATAAACACAGACGTAACTATTTAGGTATACATATTTACATTAAGTACGTGTGCTCTGTCGTGAGCTGAGTTGTGACGTCACAGTACAGTAATTGTCTTACCTATCTATTCATATGAACACGTGGCTCTTTACATTTTACACAAGGAGTTTCCTTTTTGTTTTAATTACAATGGTTTGCTGTAGAAATGTATAATTTCTATTTGAAAGTTCAGTTTTGTGATGTTAATTTAATCATTAGTATATGTATTTTGATTATTTACAACACACCAGATACAGCGCTTAACTGCCTACGTGTATACAGTTACATATTAAAAACAAAATAGGGATGATGACAGAGAATGAAAATTAAAAATTTAATTAGTCCGTTGTAGTTAATTTTAAGTTGTAAATATTTATGTAGTTATATTTAATTAAATGTAAATTAACATAAAAACCATAGACAAATAAAGTTACATTTTATTAGTCCGTCAGCTAAGTAATGAAAAAATATTTGACACGTATTTTTTTATTTGTCGTATGAGGAAACGATACATAAATAAAACGAATTGAAATTTAGGAGTGGGAGTTAACTACGTCACTTTTGAGTATAAAACGTACACAAAAGTGACGTCACGCGATAATTCAAATCAATATATCTTCGAAAATATCTGTGTCCGTAAGAAAATAAAAAATACGTCTCCAATGAATTTAAACAATCTACCATACGGACATTAAAATAAAAATTAGTCATCTATCCTATTCTTTTGATCCCCTTCTACAAGATTTTTTCCTTTTTTCAGCCGGACGATAGATGGGTTTGGGGATACGTAGATATGACTGTTCCGTCACGAAATGTAAGTACCTGAAATATGTATCACCTTGCTTTTTAAATTCCTGTACAATAAATATCTACGTAAATAAATGAAGTAGCATAATAATATGTACCTATCGAATTTTATTCGACAAAAGGTAACACAATGTTTTTGGCTGCTGTATACTTGTTCCTGTATAAAAATTTTCCTGAACCCGTTTAACAAATTCCATTCCTTGCTACACGCAAGGCTACCTACAAAATAACAATATGCAAAATAAAAAATTAATCATTTTTTTATATTCCAGAACAATGATACAGAAACTCCAAATTCTCCACCCACAACAACAGAGGAAAATCTGCCAGAGATCTGTTTGCCATACAATCCCCCGAAACCCAATTTCGGTGCACCTGGAAAAAGAATAAGTGAAGCAAGTAAGACTATTTGAACTTCTTTACCACCCGTTATAATTCCTGTGTTCCTGGTAGGCGAAAAATACATGTACTTTTTATCAGTTACTAGCTAATCTGACAAATTTTAGATCGCCATAAACATTGTTTTCTCGCCTTTTTAAACCTTCCCTGGACTTTGCACAAAAATAATTGCCAAATCGGTTCAACCTTTCCCATATTTTAGCGAGACTAACAAACGGAAATTCATTTTTAATTATATAGATTTTACAATAATTGTCTTTTACTTGTTCCAGAATGCGATGAATATGTTTGGCAACTAAAAACCAGACAGGAAGGAAGTGATAGATCTCAGGAATGTAAGTTACAAAGTAATACCTTGCTTGATATTAGTCAAATATTCCAAATCTGAGGATTTGGAATATTTGACTAATATCAAGGTGTAGAGGGCCTCAGCCCTCTCGAACTACATAGGTCCATATGAGATAAACTAAAGGATAAATTAAAATGCTTGTTAAGTCTTTTCAACACATTTTATATTTACAGGTGAAAAAGAACTGGATAGAATAAATCCTAACAGATCAAAACCTGTCGGCATAATTGGGGGACAGAACACAAAACTCGGCGAGTTCCCACACATGGTAAAAATTAGCCTTCCACTCTACATTTCTCAGACTTTTACGAATTATACCTTACCTAAACGTTCTTCAAGAATCAAATATGATTTGGTTAAAACCACATGATGTCTATTTAGTATTGTTTGAATATTTTTATATTTTGCACAGAAGATGATTTGATTTTACAGTATCTAATGACATTAAAAACTATTTTTTACTTAATTCAACAAGTCTAACAGTTGAAACCTCATAATCATTACTCATATTACAAATTTTCTTTTCTATAATCCTAGCAACTGTTCATAATGTTAATGTTTTATTACCAGGGTGCCATAGGGTGGCAGGCGTTTGGCGGTACATATATATTCAAATGCGGCGGCACACTCATCAGCTCTAGGTTCGTGTTGACTGCAGCCCACTGCTCTAGAGCTTCCGACCGAGATACTACCATTTCAGATCCTGTACCCAAAATCGTAAGACTAGGACATAAGAATATTAACAACCCGGTATGTTTATATATTAATGCATCTGTAATGTAAATATAGGTTGCTTATGAGACGACGTGCTCTATCATAGACCGCATTATTGCTTACCACCAGGCGAGATAGTGGTCAAACGTCGGCTCATCAAATATTAAAAAAAACCAGTCCCTCTAGTTACACAACTATGTTTCTTATGAATGTATACCTTAAAGCCAATAAGACCAACGGAATACTATACGTACGTAATGCATCACTGTTATGGAATTGTTCTTTAAACATCACGTTATTTATTTAAACTTTTGCTCCTTTTCCTCAGTTTCCCAATGCATTGGTAATTACCGGTGACAAGATCATCAGTATAATAGTCCACCCTCAGTATGCACCTCCGAAGAAGTACTATGACATCGCTCTGATGATGTTGGAGAACGATGTGTTCTTCAGTAAATACATCCAACCAGCCTGTTTGTGGACCAAGTTCGATACTTCAAGTCTTGGACCGAAGGCCACCGTGACTGGATGGGGTGTGGTTGAAACACGTAAGGAAACAATTACTTAAACATTAGAAGCTTTGACCGCAGTAGTAGCACAGGAGCAAATTTTTGTACAGTTGGGGTGTATAAGTTTTATTAGATTAAACTTAATTATTGTATTTTTCGTAAAGCAACTGCCATAATGTACCAACTACAATTCAATCAAAGATTCCTTATAAACCCATTATAGACATAAAACTTCAACCACCTATAGAGTCCGCAATGCGCATGTAATGCCTACAAGTGTTGCAAGCATGCATTGGCCACGGTAATTACTTACCATCAGGTGGGCCGTGTGTAATTTTTCTCACCATCGTGGTATAAAAAATTATTAATGCTGTCATTAATATGCCAATCTTTACAAATTTGAAGGCATATACACCTTGAAATAATAATCATGATCACCATTATCAGTTAACTGGCAGTACCTAATCATCATCATCAACAGCATATAAATGCTCACTGCTGATCAAAGCCTCTTCTCACACGGAGAAGGTTTAGGCATTAATTTAGGGTTGGCTATTACAAACTTATAATTAGAAATTATAAGCCCAGGTTTCCTCACGATGTTTTCCTTCGTACTTGCCGTTGGTAGGTTTCGAACCCGCATCCTCATGCATGAGAAGCTCTTAAACCTCCGGGCCATCACAACATAGGCAGCAAACCAATCAGTAATGACTAGATAATGAACCTGATTGAAAAAGAGTAACCTACGGAGTTTCTTGCTCGTTCTTCTCCATAGGAATCTACACCTTGGAATGAGCAAATAGCTTCACTTCTAATTTTATTGTTGACGTTCAAAAGTGCCTTTCTGGTCTAATTGAAATAAATGATTTTGACTTTGACTTTTAATACCTAACTATTTACTTTAACGTCTTTGCTTCATAGTTGGCAAAACCACATCACAGGAGTTGCAAGCCGGTGTAGTAGACATGATAGACAGTGAGACCTGCAACCAACTGCTGAAGACTTCTTGTAACAGGAACTGGTGTGGAGTTCGAGATGATCAGCTCTGTGCTGGCAAACTGATGGGAGGAGTGGATGCTTGTCAGGTAAGTGTTTTGTAATACCTACTGATAGTACCAAAATCAAATTTTAACGTCAATAAAATACAATTTTTCTTTTAATGGGGGAAATCACCGAATGACTTCTCCTGCCTGAGTGAGGCGGGAGGGAGTGTCAGACTCCTAATGATTAAAAACCACCCCGTCCTAATCCTGCACTTCGACCTGGAGCCCCGGTGCGGCGACCCGTTGAGTCCTCTTACGAGACTTTATTCATTCTTAATTTTTTAGATTCACAAGATTTTAAAAATCACATTTAGAATGATTTAATAATTATTTTTACGATAGAACTTTAAAGGATGGTGTGACAACTTAAAAATTAAAGATTTTAAGAAAGTTCACGATAAGTATAAAAAAATCTCTTGCCAATGTAACAATCACTAACAGACTCACTCTCTTTTTCCAGGGTGACTCTGGCGGACCTCTTCAGGTTCAACTGCCAATCAAACTTGAGGAAGGCACCATGCACTACGTGATTGGTGTGACGTCATTCGGCATTGGCTGTGCGCTACCCAACCTGCCTGGAATCTACACCAGAGTGTCCAGCTACTTGGACTGGATCGAACCTATTGTTTGGCCTGATTCATGACAATAAATTGTTTCAAAAAACTATTAACTTGATGTTTCCGTTTGGTTACCTCGTTGCTTGATATAACTCCAAAGATATGATTCCGATTTTATTCATAATTCGGTTAAATCTAATTATATTCAAATTCATATATCGTAAATTATATGCAGCCCTTAATTTTAATTTTTTACACGCCCAGACGTTCGATATTGTCTCATTGCATTTATTTATTTTAGTTATGTCATTACTGAAAATTTATTATACAAACCGTCAAGAAATCCAAACTAATCTTTTAAAAAAAGTGACGTTATATTTTATCAATATTGTGTCCTGTTACGTTGTTCATTTCTGACGTCCATCTTCAGAATCCCCTCAAAAAGGTAAGTGTAGAACAGAAAACATCGAATCCCCTTTTCTAAATCATGAATCAGGCAATGGAAGATTTGTTTCACATGTTCAAGGTACAATTTATTGTTCATACTACAATGATTTTACATTAAAATATAAACCGTGGGTAATATGACGCTTATTTAACAATCATAAGCAGAGCTAAACAAACGTGTATTGATTTTAAGTGTATTAAATTTTATTTATTATTTGCGAATTTTTTTTAATTGTGTTTTTTTTTTGTGTTTTCAAAGGTGAATTTTGTGAAAATAGTTTAGAAATGGGTGTTAGTTTTAATGTTACTTTGAAGAGCTTTATTGTGTTGTTCAGCTTATTTATTACAGGTATATATATTTTTTTCTAATTTAAATAATATTTTTTTGAAAATATTGACAATCCGTTGATTTTAAACACAAAAACAGTAAAGGGAATACTAGTATTTTCTTTTGATTTTACTAGTTCACAAGGACCACTTATTCTATAGTGTGTAAGGAAATATAGTTTGCAGTTAAAATTTTAATAAGTTTATAGTTAAATACAGTTCATAGTTAGTTTAGGAAACATATTTTAATTTACTATGTCGAATTAGGTTAAGTTATCTGTAATGGCAAAGTAATTGAATTAAATTATATTAAATAAAAAAAATATTCTTGTTTTTTTGAAATTTTTTTAAAGATATAGTTAATATAAATATATAAATTTACCTATTCACAATATTTTTGATGTTTTTCAGTATCACCTGCACATTTTCGGCACCGTATTTTCCGAGACGGAACAAACGTAAGTTTTCTTTTGTATAAAAATTATATCACAGTTTTTTAATTAAATTTCTAACGAATAGACTTTAACAAATCTTCCGTAATATGTTGCACTTGCATTTAATATGAACATCTCTGTTTATCCCTTCGAAGAATTTAAGACGTGATAGTAGGTACATAATACTGTCTTTAGACATTGCTAAATAAGAAAGTAATTTAGTAACAAACTTCTCGTATAATATCATGGTACATACATCCCACAAAACATATAAAGAAGGTTTATATGTTGTGTGGTATGTCCTACATCTAAAGACTACATACTACTAGAACAAATTTTGAAAAAGCCCAATAGTATCTACTATCTACTTAGTCTGACCCGGGCATCATCAAACTTCAGAAGGGAAGAAGAACAGCTCCTGGATAATCGCGGTTGCGGTTACTCAACCAACACGGCAGTACATGCAACTCACATAACATAACATCGCGCTTTTATCCCCGAGGGGGTAGGCAGAGGTGCACATTATGCCACTGTAAAAGTGACACCAACTTTTCACTATTTATGTTATGAGTCCCATGTAATAGGGGGTGAGCCTATTGCCATATACCGGGCACGATTCCAGACTCCGTGCTACTTTGACCGACCCGGGAATCGAACCCGAGACCCCTTGCCCGGCAGTTGCGCTTGCGACCACTCGGCCAACGAAGCAGTCACACCACTAACCTTTTCATAAAACTGTTGATAACAACACAAATCCTCCTTTCCGCATTATTACAATACTTGAAATTGATCGAGTCAATGAATTAAACAGAATTGTGACGTCACACTTGATATTGGCATAAATAAATAAACATTGTCATAGAGATGTCGTTGTGTGCGACGGGGCTTGCCCTGGACCAAGTGTAGAGTAGTGTACTGTGACGTCATCTTTACTGTCATTGAACTTTATCATAGTACCTATGTACTTAGTGGAAACTAATACATAATACAGCAGTATTAATACATTCTTATGATATCCTTACTTCCTGTTGTGGTTCAATGTATTTTTTTAAATAATATAAGTATGATTGAACAAAATGTACAAATGTACACAACATGTCTAAGTATGAGAGAGCCATACTTCGGCACGAATGGGCCGGCTCGACCGGAGTGATACCACGGCCTCACAGAAAACCAACGTGAAGCAACGCTTGCGTTGTGTTTCGTTGTGTGAGCGAGGTTACCGGAGGCCCAATTACCCTCCCCTTCCCCAATCTCTCCAATTCCTGAATCCCCAACGATCCTCATACTCCTAATCCACAAAAGGCCGGTAACGCAATCCAAGTGACCATTGGCGACGCCGATTGCTTACCATCAGGTGATCGTCTGCTCGTTTACCGGCTTATGCCATAAAAACACATAAACATGTTTAGGTAGATTATCTACTACTCTTAAATTAGTCAGACAGAATTTTAAAATCTACCTCTATTATTTCGTTTCTTTTATTTATTTATGTTTTAGTATCAATTTGTGTTTTGTTTTAACCATATTTTAATTTACTGTAGGACGACGACAGATGGATTTGGGGATACGAAACCACGTCAAACGATACTGTAAGTATCGATAAACTAAAATATTATAAAAATGATGTAAAACACGATTAACTTAACGTTAACAATCTGAAGTAGGAAAAAATATATCCTCTGTACTAATTATGTATGTGACAAAGTTTTACTGACTGAGTCGTCTGAAGACTTTTTTTCTTTAAGAAACTTAGCCCCACGCTAGGATTTTCTCCTGTGTCGTGGGTGTGTTTACAAATATAAAGTCAAAGTCAAGCAACAATGGTGTGGATCACACAAACCATTTTTCCACGCGGGAATCGAACCCGCGACCCGGTCCACGGCAGTCGGATGCCCAGCCACCGCACCAATCATGCAGTCTACTGTTGCGTCAATTGCTAACACACATGAAATTACATGAAACAAATATTTTTCACCCAAAGATTTGACATATTTATTTCCTTGCAGGCTACTTCAGCCCCAGTAACAGACCCAGTGCCTGCAAATATCACAAAAAACGATGTATGTCAACCGTTCGACCCACCAATGCCAGATTTTAGCAAAACAGGGCGAAGAATAAGTGAAATAAGTAAGTAATGAATGACATAGTGAAGTCACATAAGGAAGTCATCAAGTTACATAGATAAGACTACAATTAAATTAAATTAAAAAATGTACTACTGACTGCCTCATGGGCCGAGTGCATCTGCCGGTCAAGGGGTCTCGGGTTCGATTCCCGGGTCGGACGAAGTACTACTAGGTTTTTATAAATTCTCAGTAGTAGCACGGAGTCTGGAATTGTTCCCGGTAAATAGAGGTAGCAATAGGCTCACCCCCTATTATTACATGGGACTCATAACATAAATAGTGAAAAGTGGGTGTTACATTGTACAGTGGTATAATGTGCACCTCTGCCTACCCCTTCGGGGATAAATGTAGGTACTAAAAAGAGAAAATTTATGTTTCATTTTTATTTATTAAGAAAATGTTTTTATTTTCAGAATGTTACGAATATATTTGGCAGTTAAGAGTAAGACACGAAAGGAGAACAAGAGCAACTAAATGTAAGTATTTTCCTTCTCTGTCATTGTCAAAGTACGTTTCTAGTTTTGATTTGCATATCGTCACAGAAAGACTACTTACTCATCGTGGACCCAGTGAGATGAGAACCAAACGCAATTCGCATTATGAATTCTGTAATGTTATCAAAATACTTCACGCCTAGGTAGAGGTGCACATTACGACACTTAATGCCACTTAACAATGTAACACCCACTTTTCACCATTTATGTTATAAGTCCCATGTAATAGGGGGTAAGCCTATTGGCATATACCGGGCACAGTTCCAGACTCCGTGCTACTACTGAGATTTTTAAACGAACCCAGTAACACTTTTTCCGATCCGGGAATCGAACCTGAGACCCCTCGCACTTGCGACCACTCGGCCAACGAGGCAGTTGTAATTAATTACCTGATTTCAAAATTAGAATTGTGTTTTGCATTGCACTTTAGACACAAAAAAGGTATATAATAATACAGCACGTCAGTCCTACCAATAATCTCCTACTGAAAATCCTTATACTAAATCGTTTGAAGGTAATTGCAAGTTACTTGAAATCGTTAAAACATTCAGACGTTCGAGTGAACAACAATCGTTCATTAGTAATTCAATTAGTAACTTGTTCAATTTATATTGTCTCATTGATCTCGTGGTCGCATGCTTAGGAGTTTCTCGAATGAAACGAAGTTCTTAGGTCGCGTGTTGTGGTATTAGGATTTTCGATTTAGACGTCCTTCATTTGAGTATTTGATCCTTTTGTTTAAATAGTTTTTGAAGTGTTTAATAATCCTCCATGCTGGTTTCGGCCACGGCCACTGTTTCTTGACTACTGGCGTCTATCACGTGTATGTTTATGTACCAAACGCGAGAATATCAAATAGATTTGACATCAGTTTTTATTTATTTTCTTCAATTCTGACCCATGCTTATCTTCTATTATAACGGGTAAACACTATAGTAATAACTAAACTTAGCGCTTATACATAACTGAACCCCATAATTGATGCTATATTCAAATGTAATACATTTTTATTAGGTATATTCGAGCTATCAAGAAGTTCAGATCCTAATAAACCTATCGCTGTTGAAGCCATAGGAGGACACGATACCGAACCAGGGGAATTTCCACATATGGTAAGTAATTTATAGTTGGTCTAGTTACTATAAAAATAATTATCTAAAAGATTTCTATGAGAGAAATCTCATAATTTTTAAAAGAGAAATTTCCAAAAAAGTATTCTAAAACAAGAAAAAAAGAATGTTTTTCTTCTTTCTCACATAAACAAAACATTCATTTTGTAATTTTCCCAACAGGTAGAAAATATCCAAAAATTAAAATTTAAGTATAAAAATCATTTCCGTACTTAATTAACCATACAATCAACAAGCCATTTTATTAACAATCCGAATTTAAACTACCAGGGCGCCTTAGGATGGAAGGCGGCGACAGGAACTTGGGTGTTCAAATGCGGCAGCTCACTCATCAGCTCCAAGTTTGTGCTAACAGCAGGTCATTGCTCCCAAGCTTCTATAAGAGACACATCTATTGCTGATCCTGTGCCTAAGATAGTGAGACTGGGAGACAAGAACATTGCTGATGTGGTTCGTTATATTCTTACTTGTTTAGTATACTAGTAACAATAGCGTTCTTTACTCAGACATTAAACCCTTGGTTCGGTACATTTGTATGGCTGAGGTACCAGGACTCCATAAATTCTCAGGTAATTCATACATTTCAGTATTCGCACGGCGTTTTACCAACTGATGCTAAGATCCTCAAAATAATAGTCCATCCAAAGTATTCACCTCCGAAGAAGTACTATGATATCGCTCTTGTGGAGCTGGAGAAGAACGTACGTTTCACCAAGTTCATCCAACCAGCTTGTTTGTGGAACAACTTTGATACTTCTGCCCTTGGAACAGAGGCTATGTTGACTGGATGGGGTGTAGTGGAAACTAGTAAGTTTATTTCAAATCCTTATACTAGCTTCAAATTCCCAAGGTCTAGTAGAAATACAAGGAACCTACATGATAAACATCATAAAACATTTTTAAGAAATCAGCACAGAAGATTCGATGGAACATTTCTCCATTTTCCTAAGGCAATGCAATTAGATTTATAATAACTATGTAACAATACCAAATAATGCCAATTTGCGTATATTACATACCATTATATAATGTGTTAAATTGACATTGTTTTAATGATACATAGGCATAAAATCAATTCAATCTAATAAGCCCGAAAGGCATCATTACCAGAGAATTGGCAGTAAACCATTTTCTTTATTATGTTATTAAGACATGTGGTTAGACTGTTAAAATTAGAGCAAAAAATCAATGATTAACGGATTCCATAATTTATATTCAAATACTGCCTTTACGCATTTAAAAAAAAATCCGCTGGAATATTAAATATCTTTGTGAATTCCTTTTTGCTTCTTTATACAGCTTGTATTCAGTTTCCTTCAATACAATCCAACTAAACTAACCTTTTATCTGTTGAAACACGGCTCCCGGTATAAATAAATAAACACATTATACCCGCAAGTTTCAACATAAAAGAGGCTAAGAAGAAATTGAAAAATTACTATTACCTACAGATGGCCGAAAGACCTCTCCTGAGCTGCAAGAAGCAGTAGTAGACCTGATAGACAGTGAGACCTGCGACCGTCTGCTGAGACCGTCCTGCAACAGGAACTGGTGTGGAGTAAGAAAAGAACAGCTCTGTGCTGGAAAACTTGAAGGAGGAGTCGATGCCTGTCAGGTGAGACCATTGTACCTTCATCAGAATTCAACTAATTCTGTATAAGCTGCTCTTTATTAGTGAAGCGATCACCAATGTGACTAGTAAATAAAATATTTCACACACTATGTACTCTCCCTCTCTCTCTCTTTCTTTGACTTCGATTGTCAATTTACTTAATAACGTCATGGGATCTGGAATTATCCCAGCTGTCTGATCATATCATAACCAAATTGGAAAAAGAACCTTCTCGGAATATGCAAGTATATTTTACATTAGGTCAATCATAACTTTACTTCTCAGGGTGATTCCGGTGGACCTCTCCAAGTGCAAATTCCCATCCCAATTACAACGGAAGGTTTGATGCACTATGTAGTTGGTGTGACGTCATTCGGCATTGGCTGTGCACTACCCAACCTGCCTGGAATCTACACCAGAGTTTCCAGCTTCTTGGACTGGATCGAACCTATTGTTTGGCCTCAACCTATTGATAGTAATAAAATATTTTTTGATTACGTTCTGTTTTTTAATCTTTGATTCAAATTATTTTCTCAATGGTCGAGCAACAACAGCCCCTATGACTGTCCCGTATCAACAAATCGACATATAACGGTGGTTATAAGCCTTAAACTCGACATATATGTAGACGAAATACAACTTAAATAATCTACTTCATAATCCTCGCCGAAGCACCAACAAACTTCAATTCGGAATCCACTTCACTAAATAAAATCAAGGCGTTAAAACTTCAAGTACAATTTGAACGGCTTTAAAAGACTTTTAAAGTCGGGGCTCTCTATTAGCAATTCGGCACCTTATTTCCTGGGTAGTGTCAAGTAAATTGCTCATGAATTCCTCATAAAACGAACACTACAAACAATAAAACTAGCCTTACCCAGCGCGGTAGGATATCTAAGGACGTAGGCTTAACTTGACTGTCTGTTACACCAAACTGTAACTTTGTAATTGATTGTGTTAAATTGAGTGTAGATGTGAGTTCTTTGAAGATACTCAAAGTTTGTAACATCACGCCTTTTAATCCCGAAGGGGTAGGCAGAGGTGCACATTACGGCACTTAATGCCACTATACAATGTAACACCCACTTTTCACTATTTATTTTATGAGTCCCATGTAATAGGGGGTGTGCCTATTGCCATATACCAGGCACATTTCCAGACTCCGTGCTACTACTGAGATTTTTAAAAACCCAGTAATACTTTGCCCGACCCGGGAATCGAACCCGAGACCCCTAGCCCAACAGTCGCACTTACGACCACTTAGCCAACGAGGCAGTTTGTATGGGTCCCTAATTTTCATTACTAACCTAGTACCACTATTATGACAAACTACTACATAATATTTGCTATACTGTGATAATATTTACTACGTCTGATAAATCGCCGAATTAGCAATCCCAAACTAGACGTTACGTAGCCTCGTAAAGCTCTTAAAGAAAATAGTTTAAGGAATAGTATAACAACATTAATTAAATATCACCCACTGCAATACTTGTAACCCAAGACCTACAACAGGGATTATCCAAAAAGTTGAAAGCCTTCACGTATCCATCCATCCAACTATAATTTACTTTATAATTTATTACAACTACCCATTGCAACACCAAACGCATTACAATAACAATACACACACACTTCGGTGTAATAAAACCCCGGCTTTACAGTAATCTTCCATTTGAGGGAGCGATTTGTCTAGTAGACGTACAGCGGTAGTTTCTCACAGACATTATACTCCGCACGATGCAATCGAATGTACTCCACTACTCGCCTTCTGCCATTTCAATTTGATAAAGAATAGAAGAATTTAAATTGAATATAGATCATGTTTAGATAGCTTTGGGATTTGCATGCCTGTTTATGTTTGGTTTTTGGTTCTTGTTCTCTCATTTTCAATATGAATCAATACAAGAGAGCACTATCAATGTGATAGTCCAGTCGAGCAAAGACGGTTTGCGATAATATCCACGATTAGTAACAAATCGTAGTTTAATAGGTATATTACGCTTATCAGAGAACTATAGGATCTAGATCATAATGACAAAAAATATTTAAGTGTGGGAGATCCATGCTTCGGCACGAATGGGCCGGCTCGACCGGAGTGATACTACGGCCTCACAGAAAACCGACGTGAAGCAACGCTTGCGTTGTGTATCGTCGTGTGAGTGAGGTTACCGGTGGCCCAATTACCCTCCCCTTCCCCAATCTCCGCAATCCCTGAATCCGAACGATCCTCAAACTCCTAATTTCCAAATGGCCAGTAACGCACTTGCAACGCCTCTGGTGTTCCAGGTGGCTATGGGCGACGCCGATTGCTTTCCATCAGGTGATCAGTCTGCTCGTTTACCGGCTTATGCCATAAAAAAAACGTGCAAATCAAATTCACAGATAACTTTCCAGAGTAGTCGACAAAAACACACACGTTCACTCGCAACGATGAGGCTGAGAATCCACTTGATTTCTTTTCCAACTTCCCGCCAACTCATAACACACCTAAACCAATGGGAACCGCGTAAAAAATATGCAGATCTGTAAAGGACAAGGTCCGATTACAGCAAGCGGTGGAATTTATGCGTCATAAAAAAAGAATAATAAATGAGAGCCCGCCCTTAAGTCTGCGTCACGGCTAGGGTTGCTACTTGTACTTGCTTCACCCGACGTTTTATTGGACAGCCCTATGCGTGTGTGGTTTGGCCAGTAGTTTATGGGTTCATCTATGGAATAATTGGATTTCCTTGTTAGAGAAATTACAGGTGGAACAGTATGCTACTCTGAGATATTACGTGTGTTTACCGAAATATGTGTGATTTATTTCTCTCTGTTCGGTGTTAATATTTAATATCGTACTTTGTTTTCTTTTCTGGGTATGTAGCAATGATTTGTGGAATATTTTCCATAACCGTAAAGTATTTTCACTAAGCCCATTAGAATATACCTCTATGTTGTCGTACTTTTCAAAATCAGAGCTAGTTTAAACAAGATATCACAATACATAATGATGTACCTACCTGCATAATGTAACATGAAAATGTCTTCAACGTATAAATAAATATCTTTGTGAAATATTTGTATTATTGAAATGCATCACGTCTCTTGTGGCTCAGTTGTATTGTGACGTAAAACACGTAGTACAGAGTTCCATTCTGCAACGTGACTTGAAGATAGTTTACTGTTTCATTCCTTGACAACAGCTGATGCGAACTGGGTTTAAGGTTCAAATTAGGTTTAGACAAAAACGATTTCATTTTATCCAAATTGGGCTTCATTTTGTGAACATCATTTTAATAATTATCTGAAAAGATGTCTGGCCTAATTAGATGTGCAATTAGACGAGAGCCTAAATTAGAGAAAAATAAAAAAATACAGAAAACCAAAAAGAGAAAGCATTGTATAACCTCTTTTTTATTAAAAAGAAAATCACAAACTCGTTCGAAACATCCAACACGTTAAAATTATGCAAATAAACAACAAAAAAAAGAGAACAGAAAATTACATTTAAAAAGTTTTCAGCTATGCAAATACGACCATCAACACGTGTTCTAAAGAAAAAAATGCAAATCATATCGTAAGTAAGGCGACCCAAACTCGCTTTTATGGGAACTCATAAATTACAGGGGCGAACGAAACCGGGACATATAAACATGCTATTACACATGGTGCCCTAGTAACTTTGCTGAACATTTTTTTTACCTTATGAACATGTTTATTCATGTAAGAAAGGTCCACCACTTTTTAAATGTCCGAGGTTGAAAGGATTTCGGAAAAGTTGCATGTTTTCTATATTATGACATAACACACATAACATAAAATCACGCCTTCTATCCCCGAAGGGATAGGCAGAGGTGAACATTACGGCACTTAATGCCACAGTACAATATAACACCCACTTTTCACTATTTATGTTACGAGTCCCACATAATAGGGGGTGAGCCTATTGCAATATGCCGGGCACAAATCCAGTCTCCGTGCTATACTGAGATCTTTTTAAAAAACCCAGTAATAATTTGCTCGACACGGGAATCGAACCCGAGACCCCTTGCCCGGCAGTCGCACTTACGATCAATCGGCCAATGTCTTCAGTTTCCTAATATGTTGAGGCTTTTATGTTTTGTTATGTATTGCATTTAATTTTTCTGGTACGTGCATGCGATTATAGATAGTATTTATTATGCTACGTTGGTAATGGTGAATAAGTTGCATAGGTAAGTACACAAGCGGATTTTCATGTTGTGAAAACTACGTCTGTGGCTTTGAAGATGTATACTAATGAACAAACAAACATTAAAACCCTTTGACACACACGAACCACACTGCAACATTTATGCTATTTCATTTATTATTTATTTATTTATCTTTAAATCACACAGGTAAGTATGTTAATTTAAGCCCCACATAACCGTTGCAATGGTTTGACTGAGATGTTTTATAGCCTTCCTCGATAAATGGACTATCCAACACAAAAATAAAAAACAAACTCTTTAGCTTTGTAATTTATTTATTTTTTTTTAATTTGGGAAACAAACAGTGACACATTACATGATACATTATGACACAATACATAGGTTCGAACAAATGTGTAACCAACGGCGTTTTCCACAGAATATAAATTAAATCATAAACACCATCACACAAACTTATATAACTAATAAAATATAATAAGAAAACATAAATAACATTACGCCTTTTGATCCCTGAGGGGAAAGATAAAAAAGTAATATTAGTATAGGTTTAAGACATTTCTAGGTAATATGGTTAAACCTATTTGAATTTGTTTCACTGCTTATGCCTTATTTCATATTTGTGTGCTGAAGGTGTAGCATGTGCAATGTTGCTCAAAATTTTCTCATATCAGATATGTTTGCAAATCGCAGTAGTTCGATTTTTGAACATTCTGGAGCATGTTCTATAGAACACCTTTTAGCATGCTATTTTACAGCATGTGGAACCAAGTACCATTAACTTACATGAGTCAATGATATTAATGTAAGTTTGATCATAAACAGATTATTTGATACCACGGTCTGTCAAATACGTATCTATTTCTCATTACGTCTCGTCATAGAGAATAAATTGATCAAAGTTGGCAACTTAGATTAAGTTTAGTTAAGTTATTAAAGGGCGACTCGCTGTCAGTTTTTACTTGGAGATTATTAACCTAGATATGGTCTTGGTTTCATGATTACATTTCTCAAGACTTGCTCTGTTTTCTTTTAATTTGAAAATATTAGGTATTGGTAGGTATATTCCACTCATCTGTGAGTGGGTACAATATTTCCTAAATGGCCCACTTGTGAGAGAATGACAAATTAGGTAAAGTGTTAATGTTTTTATAATAACTATCGTGAGACATACGGAGTAGGTTGCGCGACATCGCAACGACCGCGCATACTGCTAATGAGGAAGAGTCCCTCTGTGACTCGAAACTAGTAGAGCTTTTCTCAGTATATTTACGTGAGTAATTCGTCATTTTTAGTTAATAAAACGTTAATATCCGAAATTTCAGAATTTTTAATAATAGCTCT